AAGACCTTGGCTAGACCGGGAACCTGTACTGAGGAATATTCACTCATTAAGGATAAAACTTCAGTTCAAGTCTTTTATGCGAATCAGCTAGAAAGACTTAAAAAGGACCTTCGGGACAACTTATTCATGCAGAGGGTTTTGCATGTATGGAATGAGTTGCCAGAGGAATTGGTGGAGGCTGGTACAATTACATTTAAAAGGCATCTGGATGGGTACATGAATAGAAAGGGTTTACAGGGATATGGGCCAAATGCTGGCAAATTAGACTAGATTAATTTAGGATATCTGATCGGCATGGACGAGTTGAACTGAAGTGTCTGTTTCCATGCTGTACAGCTCTATGACTCTATGAGAATGATGGAAGTCAGAAACAAAAACAAAAGTTGCTGGAAAAACTCAGGAGGTCTGCCTGCATCTGTGCAGAGAAAGCAGAATTAACATTTTGAGTCCAGTGACCCTTCTTCAGAAATGATTGTAGCTGGGAAATTGTTGGCGTATTCACTAAAAAACAGGTGTGGGGAGGGTGTTGGAGTAAACGATAGGTACCAATTCCAAGCCCCACACACCAGACCTTGTCATCACATGGGCTGCTACCACAAACAACCCATTTTCAGCCACTAATGCTCCCAATTAGCAGTTATTCATTCTCTCATTCTGACTTTTACCCATTCCTTGTCTGCCCAACTGTTTTTTTTTCTGTCTCTCTGGGCTGTACTTCCACCAAACTTTTTTTTTTTCCCCTCCCCATCACCCCTTCTTTGGCATAAATACCAACCTTTTCCTCGCTACAATCAATTCTGCAGAAGGGTTGCTGGACCCAAAATGTTAGCTTTGCTTTCTCTCCACAGATGGAACCAGATCTGCTGAGTTTTCCCAGCAATTTCTACTTTTGCATCTAATATTTCCTTTCATGACTGTCACAATTTGGTCAGATAAAACCACTGTGACTTGTCTTGGGAAGTTTATCTGGGTTAAATGTACATTGCAGATGCAAGTGATTACTTTTGTTGATGGGGTCGAATATTATTGTCTGCTTGGGTGATGACACATCATCAAAATTGTATAGTTCATTTTAACAGATTATCACTCCCATAGCAAAGAAAACAAAACATCTATTCAAGAAAAGTCGTCTCAAATCTGGTGCTTTTACACATGGTAATGTTCAGTAGACCTGAAAACATAACAGGATATAATGGTAGCCTTTACCAGTTTATATTACTCAGACTCTGAATATTTTGGCAGGTCACCAAGTTTGGTATGTGTGGAGACTGCTTTCTATTCCTCCAATGCCCTGTGGTACAGATGGCTCAACAGATTAAGTAAATGAATGATTATATCAAAGCAGGTGTTTCCATTACCTACCTTTAAATACCATCAGCGTTAAGTAGTAACTGGAATCTTTTTCCTCTGTTCAGATTTACTTTAGCTTCTTTGTGCATGATCCACATTCAGGTTATTGTGTTGGCAACAGTTTATGGGCCCAGGTATAATAGCTGCGGCCAATTGTTACCTTAAGGGAAGCACATTAAGTCTAATTTTGTTACCTATTGAATTTCTTGGGCATGTAATATTAAAGTTGAATGATTTTACTGCAATACCAGCAGCACAAAAAACTTGGCCTGACCATCTCCAAATGAAACTGCATTAATCCAGATATTTATTGCAGTCATTCAGCTGGTTCAGCGACTTTTTGAAGCCTTATTGTTAAGTAACTTACCATTCATCAATGTTTACTATTCCATTACCTTTAACATATAAATATAGCATTGCCTAACCATACAAGGGATTAAATATTTGATATCAAGCCAAATGATCATGTCACTATTAGTCTGCCAGTCACTTAAACTCATTTGCCTTGTTGGATGAGATTTATGATTTATTTACTGAATTGTTCAGTGGGATATCAATGATAGCAAGGTATTCAGAAAATAAATATGCCTACATTTGACTTATCTCAGTTGAATCTATAATTTCAGCTGGAAATTCCTGATCCTTATAGACATAAGCGATTGACTGGCTCATAATTCTGCACAAATTGGAGAAGGAGGAATATGATAAATCTATTCCAACTGATTCATACAGTAAAATATTTTTAAAATTTTGGCCATGGCAATGAAATGATTAAAATCAAGCCATGTTTCATATTCTTTTTTCTGCATTGAATGCACAGCAATTTCTGGGGTTTGGAATGTACTAAAATTTTGTCTGGGTATGTTAAGGTTTCTTGAAACTCTTTACAACTGTTCAACTGCTTTGTCTTTTGACAGATCCATGAAACCTGAAATCTTTAGTGCATTATGAAATATACTTTTCCAACCTTTCATTCAAACAAGCTGAACAGTAAATAAGAGACCATAATCAGGCTACTAATGTCCATTTCCTTCTTTCTACATTACTATTTATGCTACGGATTTGAAAAACTCCTGAGAGCAGCCTTTTCATGTAAAGATAATGACCATGGTCTCCAAACCTATAGCCAATCAAAGGAAATTATAGTTTCTGGTACTTTGTGTTGGAAAATTTGTCAACTAATACATCTTTGATATTTACTTGCTGAGTTATTCTTACTTCTGAACTACTCAACTTGTGTCAATTATTTTACATTGCAGTCCATCCTCAGTATTATGGTTGATTAGTTTGTTCTCCAACCTATTTGGAAAGATGAGCAGTATATCCACCATATGCTTTTTCTGCTGTTGTTTATATGTCATGCATAAGATCAAGATTCAGGTCAAAGAAAGCTCAATTTTAAAGACAGTTACAAAGAGTAATCGGGAAACAATTTCAATAACAATAATTTGATCATCAGCATTCTCAAAGATTCATTATAATTTCTTCCCTTAAATTGCATTGACTGGTCCAAAAATTTCTAACTGCAAAAGGATAAACCAAAGGCAAGCAGCCTTCAGTGTCTGGGAGAACCATTTAATTCCTAACTCTGATTCAATCTGTTGAATTTCTACAGTTTTGTGGCATTATAGCTAAAGGAAACGTGTTGAAGTACTTTTATTTTGCAGCTTACAAGATGGAAATCAGTATTAAAAGTGCTTGTGAAGTAAATCAAGATGTTGCAACTCTACAGTTAATACTATAAGCAATGAAGTTTTCCTGGTAAATTATTCCCTGATTATGTTGGCTTAATTGTGCACAATGTCACTTATGAGTATATTCAATATCATTCTTCTGCAAAGTGACTAATCTTGAACTTTAATGCAAATTACATTTAGTGCAAATCAAATTTCTGCGATCCTTTATACTTTTATGAGAAAAACATGCCCCTAGTCCCAATCAAAGGAAAGCATGCGAGATCTTCTTCAACTGTGAAGTCTGATTGTTTCATTTTACTAATTATCACAAGAGCTGATGCAATGTCACAGGATCTTGCTCACCCTTGCAGCCTCCTAGTAAGATGAAGCCGCAATAAAATGTTTCTTGAACGCAGTTAATGTTTTCCTTATCTCAGCAGTTTCTGTAAATATTCTTCAGAAGCACAATAAGGCCAAGAATATTATACTACAGTCTAAAACAGAATATCACATTTTGAAGAAGAGTCATTGGACTCAAAATGTTAACTCTGTTTCTGTCTTCATAGACGCTGTCAGATCTGCTGAACTTTCCAGCACTTTATTTATATGTCAGATTTTCGGCATCCCCAGAACTTTGCTTTTGTCTTCAAGGACTGCCTAGGCTTTTTGTTGCACTTCGCCAGACCTTATTGTGTGAACGTTAACTGCTATGTTTTCTATGTAACAATTTATAGTACACATCAAAAATAATTAACAAGCCATGAAATTCTTTGGAACATGCCAAGATGTTAAAACTTATGTAAATACAAAAGCAAAGTACTGGGAAATTTTCCAAAGATGAAATAAAAACAGAAAATTGCTTGTATTCATTGTCTGGCATGAACTGTGGACAAAGAAACAATGTCAGAATTTCAGGTCGCTAACCCTTTGTCAGAACTGGGAGCGCTACTGAAGGAAATGGTTTTAAAATCATGAAGAGAATTCACTATTATCCTTTTTGTCAGTTAATTTCTCCAGTTTTCCATGCCATCACCGATATTCCCATCTGTTCTTTCATTCCTTTCTGTTTTTTCATGCCTGGATCGGAAGGGTTGTTTTTCTTTGTCCATTCAGAATGTCACATGTCTAACCCTTCATCACTCATTCAGGATGCCTTATCATGTGTAAAGTCACCCAGGACATGCTGCCAAAGCAGCAAAGCGACAGTACTGTACTGGTAAACCCTAAAACACTTAATTGTGTAAAAGTTACTGGTCTTGAGCATTTCAAACGGCCCAACATGTAAAACATTAGCCTTCATCTTGTTTTGCTGGAACCATTGGAAAGTATAGTTAATGGGCATACCTTGGGAAGAGAGATATGTGCGCGATCATTTTTTTTCTTAAAGGCACCTACTGTCCTATTCCTGGTGGGGTAAAATCAGGGATAGTAGGAACTGCAGATGCTGGAGGATCTGAGATAACAAGGTGTAGAGCTGGATGAACACAACTGGCCAAGCAGCATCAGAAGAGCAGGAAGGCTGACGTTTTGGGCCTGGACCTTTCCTCAGAAAATGAAGAAGGGTCTAGGCCCGAAACACCAGCCTTCCTGCTCCTCTGATGCTGCTTAGCCTACTGTGTTCATTCAGCTCGACACCTTGTTATTTGGGGTAAAATCAGGGTTTAAATCTGTCTGGAAAAATAGATATTATAGGTTGCTTGATATCAACATTGTTCTACTGCCTTTCCTATTGTTATAGTTGTAGAAATTTGTGTCAGTAAAGGCAAATATGAAGAGCAGCTAGTGAGAGATCTGAGAACGACCACAAGTTCAATTGTAAAGACTTGAGATTATACAAAGTTGCCACATTGGGCTCACGGGTCAAGTTAAATAAACACATGGCAACACAATCATTTGTTTAAATATGCTTTACTACATCATTCAAGCACTAATTTTGGTCTCAAAGGGTGTAACAGTATTTTATTGAATCTTTACCTCGACAATGGGATCCTTCATCAAGTCCATCCAGACAGTCATTTATGCCATTGCAGAGTTTGCTCATGTGAATACATCGTCTTGTCCCAATGCAGTCAAAGTGATTCACAGGACATGTAAATTCTAGGTGTCCAGTGCCTAGCAAAGGAAAGCAAAAATGTACTTTAATAAAAAAAAACTATGTTTCACATTTTCAGTGACAAGAGGTGCGGGACATTAGCTACCTAGGCTTCATTCTTTAAAAGTGTATATGTTGGCTTTAGCAACATGTAGCAAAACCTGGAAAGCAGATCATAGAACCTCTACAGAGTGGAAACAGGCCTTCCGGCCCAACATGTCCACACTGACCCTCGGAGCATCCCACCCAGACTCATACCCCTATAATCCACCTTATCTACATATCCCTGAACACAACGGGCAATTTAGCATGGCCAATCCACCTAACCTGCGCAACTTTGGACTTTGGCAGATAACTAGACCCCCTGGAGGAAACCCATGCAGACACAAGGAGAATGTGCAAACTCCACACAGACAGTTACCTGAGGCTGGAATTGAACCCAGGTCCCTAGTGCTGTGAGGTAGCAGTGCTAACCACTGAGCCACCATGACTGAATTGACTAGTTGCTACAAATAATGAGATGCAGCTCATAGGCAGCAGACTAAACCATTTCTTAAAATCATATACCACCCCAATCTAACAATGGTTAAAGAAAGACACATACTATTTCAGTGGTACAAAATCTATGCCTGGTCTCACAGAAAAATAGTATTTGATGAACTTCTGGGCAATATTGTTGCAGTACAAAGCAGAAGAATGTGCCACTTTAGTGACTGAACACAGAGGGCTAATATAGGGAGTAAGGCAATTTGGCATCTATAAGCTTGAGCAAATTGTGTGGTGTCAGTCATAACAAGATATTCTAAAGGAGATTAATGCTGTGTTACAAGTCCACCGGATCTGAGAAGACATCTGGCAAGGTGAGAGACCAAAAATAAGACACAAATCTAAATTCTGAATCTCAATATGCATGACATGTACCTACCATAACCGGAGATGAAAGAATAACAACTGTGACAGACTTCTCACTTCAGTCTATTTCTAAGTTAAAAGTAGTGTGACAGATGTAACCATGGCAGTGCTGCCATAAGATCAGCAACGTAATGAAGAGTTCACATGAATAAAAAATATGTGTACAGGAAAGGTACAGTTCTCAAACGAATGAGTTAATTACTATATTCTGTTATGATCTCAGACAAGACAGCCAAATTTATATTTCAATCTGGCTAAGGATAAGTAACTATTTTTAGAGTAGATAAAGTGAGAGATGTCATGACTTGGTAAGAGAATAAACCATCCATTTCTTTAGTTTGGAACAACAATAATATTTACTGTCCAAAATTAGAAGGATAATGAAATCTCCTATGCATACATTGTGGGCAGCACGGTGGCTCGCCACTGTGGGGAACTGGGTTGGATTTCAGCTTTGAGCGACAGCCTGTGTAGAGTTTGCACATTCTCCCCGTGTTTGCAGGACACATGGTTTCCCATCGGGTGCTCTTATTTCCTCTCATAGTCCAAAAATGTACAAGTTCGGTGGAATGGCCGTGCTAAATTGTCCATAATGTCTAGGGATTTGCAGGCTGGGTGAATTAGTCATGGTGTATGATACACTTTATATGCTCTATGGGTTGCTTGATCGCAGCTGTCTGTAACTTTATGTTAATTCTAGATGTTATAAAGTATAAAGTGCAGTCAAGACATAATCCATAGCAATACCATGATGTTAATAATATTGTATCAAAAATCTTATTAACCTCTGCACAGGATTACAAGTCTTCTTTTGAAGATCTAATTTTGGATCTTCCTCTAAAACTGCTCAATCACAAATTTTGTCAATGACTGCTCACTTTCTGATCTATCGTCCTTTACTGGGGCCACGCTTCCCTGGATTACTGGAAACTGCAGTCCAGCAATTACTCAACACCAGCTTCTCATAAACAGCTGTACCAAGTTATTACTACCCCTGGACTTTTCTTTCCAAAGTTCTAAACTGGCTCAGTTAGATTTCACACCCATCACTCTCCACTCTACTGAACTGTTAATGGCACTCAACTTCTTCAGGGTTCTCAAATTTTCCTGAGCCCAACTTCAACACTTATCTTCTAACTTCAGTTAGCTTGCTAACTTCTCAAACTTCTCCCTGGCCTCTAAAAGCATACATATATTCAACTGTCCTCAATTTCTCACTGAATCTAGAGACCCAGATTCGTTCAGCCACCTTTTCAGCAGTTCAGCTGAACAGATCTTTTCTGCACAGAGCACCTGTCTACTTCTATAACTGCCTATATTCTTTGTGCTATTGTGTGACCTATTGAAAATTTTGCAACAAGCTCTGTCCTATTGTTCAGCAGAACTAAACATATCGACACCTTGGAACTGTGTGTGGTTGGAACATTGTGTGTGCTTTACAGCACAAATTGCATTCAAGAAGTAATGGATTCCATCACAACTAGCTGCTGGCTGTTGAAATGCTGTGTAAACTGTTCAAAATCCAGTTTGCACAATGAACTGTTCGTAGAGACTGAACAAGCTTTTGTAATTCACTTAAATATTCATTACAACAGTCTGATCAGGTTCCTCGTAAATACTCCTCGGTCTCAATTTACTTCTGATACATCAATTCGAAACTCACAAAACAGATTGTCTACAACTATAATAAATATTGCTGATTTATTGCAGACCCATAAAAACCATTGATTGTAGACAGAAAGGCATGGTTAGCTTGAAAACATTCCTGAGAAAATTCTTTCATTAGTTTTGTTTATGTCAAAGGTTCTGGAACATTTAATGTTCAAAATTGCATTGGGTTTCACTCAACCTGATAATATCACAGTGTTGGAGAGAGAATTGAGGAGTCGCTCACTAGATTCTATTGGATCAGACATTTTATTTTTGATGCTCGACAGTCTCAACAATAATGTCTAACAAGACAGTGTAAACTGTACCTATTGCTATCATTGTAATGAACTGAGTTGGACATTACATGCTCAGAGATAATAAGAAATACAGATGCTGGAGTCAGAGATAACACAGTGTGGAGCTGGAGGAACACAGCAGGCCAGGCAGCATCAGCAGAACAGGAAAGTTGACGTTTCGGGGAACTGAAGAAGGGTCCTGACCCGAAACGTCAACTTTCCTGAAGCTCTGATGCAGCCTGGCCTGCTGTGTTCCTCCAGCTCTGCACTGGATATTACATGCTTCTCATGGGATATGTTTTTGGTGGGAGATATGAAATACATGTTGGGTGGCAAGAGCACAACAGTTTCACTCATCCCCAAGCTAATTCCTATAATAGAGGATTGGTTATCTCAGCAAGTTTGCCATCTTAAGCAAAACAATAAAGGTATCGACACGTTGGTAGTGGGCAGCTGGAGAAGTTACTTTTACACAAGTTTTATAAACATTTATTATAAGGAAATGGGTATTATTTTCAGGGCTGCTTTTTGTGCCTCGACTTGTACACTCGAATTCCTTCCAATTGATGTGCTCTGCAAACCCTCCACATGAGCACTTTCAATTTCCCCCACTCGCACCCTAAGCTTTCTATGTCCACTATCCCTGACTATTTTTAGGCCAGGAACCATACTCATTTCTTTATGGTTCTGGTTGCAATTCTGGCAGAATCTGCTGCTGAGCTTGTGGTGTTGCTGGAATCGCTGTCAATCAGATTCATCTGAATCTACAGAGAGTGACAGGGCGTCCCCACTGAGGCTTGGATGTCTGACACGCAAATACTTCAGGATGCCCAATGCATGCGATTACTTTATAGCGTGGCCTTCTCTCCGGTCAGTCACGTCACCATTGGTTTTCCTTCTGAGGGTTGAAAGACAAAGAGATTCGAGCGGTAATATCGAGCCTTCCATCTCATCATTAAGAGAAGTGCGTCTTCTTGTTAAGATTCACAATTGGTTCAGCCCCATTGCTGTTAACCAGAAAGCTCTTTATATCCAGTAAAGAAAGCATGTTTGATGGCTGTACTCTACTAAAAACACAAACTGTCAATGTGCAACATATGACATGGTGATTGGTGGTGGGAATAGTGCTTAAATAGCTCAAAGTAAAGGCTGATAAAGAAACACTTGATCCAGGAAAGGAAAGCAGAAGGGAAATAAATTTGTCACAGCTACCACAGACTGAACAATTAAAAGATCTGCAGCGCACAAAGAAGGAACCGCAGGACAGAAACAATTATAGTAGGGCATTATGAAAGAAAATTTGTATTATTTTGCAAATGATATTCTCTTGCTTGAATTTTCTTGAAAAAAGACTATGGCTATGTTTTAAAATGCTGCTATTTGCACACAATGTGCAAGGTATCTGCCTCCAGAAAATTTACAAATTATGAAGGACAAAAAGCTTGCATCTTTCTCCTTAAACATGAAATACATGTATCGTATGAATGTTCTAGCTAAGCCAATACATAGAATTAATAGACAGGATGTTTACCTCAGCTAATTTTGAACATAGCAGACCATTAAAGCCTGTTATGGCTCAACATGATGCACATTACTCAACAATTATCCAATAGAAAACACAATGGCTTCCGATGAAGGAGTATCACACTACTCCCACGACAGAATGTAACCAGTTCCCAGCTTACAACAACTATGCTTTCAGTACTAATTTGACTGTTCATGTTCTCCTGCAGAATGGACTTCTGCGTACAGCCAACTGAAGGAAACTGAATTGGACATGGAGTTGTGCAACTTGGAAAGAGACCCTTCAGTCCGCGCTGACCAGATATCCTAAATTGATCGAGTCCCATTTGCCAGTATTTGGCCCATATCTGTCTTAAACCCTTCCAATTCATGTACATATCCAGATATCTTTTGAATGTTGTAATTGTACTCACCTCCACCACTTCCACTGGTAGCTCATTTCATACACGCACCACAGTCTGCATGAAAAAGTTGCCCCTCAGGTCCCTTTTGAAATTTTTCCCTCTCACCTTAAACTTATGCCCTCTAATTTTGGAGTTCCCCATCTTGGGGTCCCCTACTCACCCTCTCCATGCCCTTCATGATTTTACGAAAATCTATAAGGTTATACTTCAACCTCCGACACTCCAGGGAAAAAA